AACCATGGTCTTACTTGCCCATGACCATGGTTTCCAGCCTATATAAAGTTTTGAGTCATTTCTGTTTGAGTCCTACTGAAGCATATCACAGTCTTACTGATAAACACTTTACTTTTGAAAAGGATTTAGAATTAAAATACACTGGAATGAGTATTTCAGAACATTTCCTTTGAACATTTCCTTTAAATAGGTAGTCCTGTTTAACATCCACTTGTTCAGCAACCGTTCAAAGTTACAACAGTGCTGAATGAGGGGTACTTATGGCAGATCCTTGTAGTTTTGGCTGTTGCAGCATCCCCATGGTCACGATTGCAATTTGGTGCTTGGCGACCAGCTCGCAATTATGATGTTGCAGTGTCTTGTGGTCCCATGATTGCCATTTGTGACTTTCACGGCATGCTTCTGACAAAGCCAATGGGAAAGCCACAGGAGGTCACAAATGGCAATCACGTAACTGCAGGACACTGCAACTGCTTGGGATTTTCCTAACAATGGCAACTGGGACTGCTGGAACTGCTGTCATAAGTCACCGCAGTCACATGACATGCAATTTACGACCACACCGATGGAGTTTCTGTTCCCAATTACCGTTGGTAAGCGAGGACTATCCATACTTTATTGTATTTTCATACTCCACTAATACATGCTAATTATTTGTCTTTTGAGCGCCAATTCTTTTATAGGCATGGCCAACAGAACAAAGTGTTAAGTGATGCAGCACCACAGAGTTGATATACATGAATGGTACCTCAGTCCTTCACAGGCTGGAGCAAAGACATACAGCCATGCCTGACAAAGTCTCCACTGCAGGCTACAAATAATTATTTTGAACCGTGTTACTTCTATCTTTGTGTTAAAGCAGCCCCTTCCATTCTATTTAAGGCTGCTTGGCATAGGTTTCACATAACTGCACCTATCACAAAATGAGTATTCAGTGGGGGAGAGCTAACTATTTGAATCTTCATGTTAAAAGCATGCTGAAGATGGAAACTTATATCAAGAAGACATTTAACCTACTTTCCTGCACCATGGGCTAGCATGTTTCCAACTCGACAGAGCGCTCCAAATAATACTAGTCTCAAGAATATCATAATGGGGTTTGCTGATTCTTCAAACAGACTTCTTAAAAGAAGCAAGCAAAAGGCGTATCAGTTCCATAACATTCCTTCCCAAAAGTTTGTTGAGCAGAGAGGATACAAAGCAACAGAACTATGGTGCCGGGCATCTCTCTCTCCTTAACCACCAATTCTTTCCCCACAAAGAGTCTTACATTTATTCCATAAGGTCAAGGTTCAGAAGCCTTACGTTAAAGAAAAGATGGACTTGCTTTTCAATCCCACCCATCCTTTCCACTGCAAATAAGATGATGCATGCTACATTATCAACATAAGGGCTGCCTAAAAGTGCTACTTATCCTCAAAACACAGGGAAACAAAGAGTGAGTGCATGCCCTTTATTACAGACTTGACTGGATGAGCATGCTGATAAGGATATGCAAAGGCCGAGGGAAATGTTCTGTTATCGATACAAGTAATCAGCTTCTATGTTAGCAGCAATCTCAGCTTCCCACTTGTCTCCATTGTTGAGCAGCTTCTCTTTGTTGTATAGAAGCTCTTCATGTGTCTCAGTGGAGAATTCAAAGTTGGGGCCCTGCAGATGCACAGCAAAGAGCTGGAGTAAAATCAAATCTAGACTGGAATCTTAACCACCCAAACCCACCCGTCCACTACCCCATTCACCTCCACAATAGCATCAACAGGACAGGCTTCCTGGCAGAATCCACAGTAGATGCATTTGGTCATGTCAATGTCATAGCGAGTGGTCCTGCGGCTACCATCAGCTCGAGTCTCTGCCTCAATAGTGATTGCCTGTTGAGAAAAAGGCACAACTAGCACAAGGGTTCTCAGAGTCATCTTAGCAGAACACCCTGAGACTACTCAAAGTTTAGCAGCAAAATGACCAAATCCTAGAAGTATGATTTCAAGCAGAAGGGTGGTGCCTCCCAGAGGCCTCCTACTCCCACTCCCAGCCTTACAAATTCCCCAGAAAACACACCAACAAAAACTGACCCCACCTCTTCTAGTTACAACACTGGATGGCCTCCTGAGGGCCTCCAAATGGTCTTGAAGCAGAGTTGCAAACCCAACCCCACAGAAATTATCAATTCCTATTTGAGCATGCTGACATTCCAAACTCCAGTTTCAGGAGTCTAGATAATCCAAGCTGAAATTTATCCGTGCTGTAATAAAGATAAATTCATTTGGAATGAAGGACCTGAATCAAAGACATGCAACACTTAAGAGAGCTATAGAAGCTGGATAGAGTTGTGTGGATACCACAAAAGAGAAGGGGTTCACTACAGCCAACAGAACTTTAGCATTAGAGCAGTGTTGTTCAAACTTGGCCACTTTAAGATGAGTGGACTTCAACTCCCAGAATTCCCCCCGCCCGGTGTGCTGGCTGGGGAGTTCTGGGGGTTGAGAGTCATTTCTTTTAAAGGGGCCAGGGTTGGTAAAAACAGTCTTTAGGGGGAAATAC